ATCAGAATCTACATATCCAATAGAGAACTTCTCGATTCCTTTATCATTCCGCTCAAAACAAATTCCCGTGCTCTTTGTTCCATGCAAATATCGCAGTATCCATCGAGCAGCTTCCCAATGCATTTTTCCAGGATTATGCATAAATCTACTTACTAATCCAACTGCATGAGCAATATCAGGTCGAGTACACACCATGGCATACATCAACCCTCCAACCAAACTAGAATAAGGAATGTCTTTCATCTTAGTCCTCTCTTCATCAGACTTAGGGCATAACTGCGTGCTCATCTTGAAGTGAGATGCCAGAGGTGTACTTACAGGTTTGGTTTCATCACGGATGCCAAACTTGTGTAGCAATCTTTCCACATACTGTTTCTGTGATAAACACACCAGCCCTTTCTTTCTATCCCGTGTAATTTCCATCCCCAAAATTTTCTTTGCTTCGCCAAGGTCTTTCATCTCAAACTCATTTTGCATATGAGTTTTGAGTTTTGAGATTTCAGTTTGATCACTAGAGGCAATGAGCATATCATCTACATAAATCAGTAAATATACATATGTACCTTCCCTTGTTTTCTTGTGATATACACAGTGATCGTATTGGCTCCTAGTGTAGCCAAAATCCTTCATAACCTTGTCGAACCTCAAGTACCATTGCCTTGGTGATTGCTTCAAACCATATAGAGATTTGTTGAGCTTGCATACTAGATTCTCCTTTCCTTTCTCTTCGTATCCTTCTGGTTGACATATGTAAATTTCTTCAGACAAATTACCATGCAGAAACGCAGTTTTTACGTCCAATTGTACTAATTCGAGATCGAACTGTGCCACCAGTGCTAGGAGGATTCGAATGGATGAATGTTTCACCACGGGCGAGAAGATTTCATTGTAGTCTATTCCCTCTTTCTGAGCGTAGCCTTTTGCTACTAATCTGGCTTTAAACCTTACTGAACTTGCATTATTTATTCCATCTTTCTTTGCATACACCCATTTGCATCCAATGGCCTTTCTTCCCTTAGGTAGCTCCACCAGATCCCAAGTTTTGTTCTTCTTTAGTGACAACATCTCATCATCCATAGCTTCATGCCAATTTTTAGCTTCTTTACTCCTTGATGCTTCTGTGAAATCTGTAGGGATGTCAACTTCGATTACTGGCAATGCATAGGCTATACAGGAGACGCAATCTTTGAATTTAGCAGGAAGCCCAACCTCTCTTTTTCCTTTTCTCTTGGCGATACAATCTTCTTGATTTGGTACATCATTAAGCATACTGTCCTCTTCTTGCTTTTCTTCTTGATCGACACTGATTTGACCCTCATTGTCTTGTTTGTCTTCATCTCTTGAATGTTCAGTTTGTTCCTTTGCTAGCTCCACCTCTTGCACAATCTTTCGATCTTCTCTTAGTTGCATATGAGTTTCATTAAACGTCACATTTCTGCTTATTACAACCTTCTTGAGTTGTGTACTCCACAATCTGAATCCCTTGACGCCACTGTTAAACCCTAGAAAGATAGCCTTCCTTGCTCTCGGGTCTAATTTATTTTCTTTCACATGGTAATACGCATCACACCCGAATACCCCTAGTCTGTCATAATCTTGAGCAATTTGTCCTGACCATACTTCCATTGGAGTCTTTCCGTTTAAAGCTGAAGAAGGGAGACGATTTATAATGTGACATGCATAACTCAATGCTTCTGCCCAAAAATGTTTATGCAGTTTTGCTTGTGACAGCATACATCTAACCTTCTCTAACAGTGTTCGATTCAACCGTTCTGCAATTCCGTTCTGCTGAGGAGTTTCTCTTACACTGAAATGTCGTGTTATACCTTCCTTTTTGCAGGTTTCAAAGAAGGGATCAGACGTATACTCTCCCCCATTATCACTTCTTAAAACCTTCAATTTTTTCTCAGTCTTCCTTTCGACTGTGTTTTTCCATTCTAAGAAGATATCCAGCACCTCATGTTTGTGTTTCATCATATAAATCCATGCTCTTCGTGAATAATCATCAATGAAGGATACGAACCATCTCTTTCCTCCTAGGGATTCATTCTTCGCAGGCCCCCAGACATCTGAGTGTACATAATCCAGGATTCCCTCCGTTTGATGTATTGCCGTGCCAAAACTTACTTTGGTTTGTTTGCCAAGGATGCAATGTTCACAAAAATCGATCTTTCCACTTTTGGCTCCCTCTAGGACCCCTTGTTTAATCAATCCTTGCAATGCCTTGTTTCCCACGTGCCCTAGCCTCATATGCCATAGACAAGATGTATCTAATTGATCACTTGCTGCTACCATAGCTATTGGAGATTCAATAGTGGTGCCTTTTAACAAATAAAGCAAACCCCTTCTTGGCGCTTTCATTATCACTAATGCTCCTCTTGCAACCTTCAATGTTTGTTTTTCTAAGTAGAATTTACAACCTTGATCTTCAAGAGTTCCAAGCGAGATTAAATTCTTCTTAAGATTTGGGACATATCTCACCCCTTGTAGCTCTCGGACTACACCATCATGGTGTCTGATTTTAACACTACCAATTCCCTTCGTTGCACATGGATTATCATCCCCCATATACACCATTCCAGTGAGGGTCTTGAACGAAGAAAACCAATGACGTTGAGAGGTCATATGATGCGTGCATCCAGTATCAAGCACCCAGTGATTCATATAATTTATTCCGTCTGATGCAGTTAGGGCACAGACGAAATCTTCATCGTTAGCCTCGACAATGTTTGCCTCTGAGTCTTCATACTTCTTCTCTTTGTTCTTGGCTTTGATTTTGGGACAATCCTTTTTCCAGTGCCCTTTCTCATGACAGAAGGCGCACTCATCTTTATCGAGAAACTTTCTGTTGCTTGAGGCACCTCTCGAACGAGACTTGCCTTTCTTCTTAGTTGCTGGTTTTCTTTCCTTTGATCTTCCTCTTACCATTAGTGCTTCGGAATTGTTTCTCTCTTGTCTGTCTAAATTGCGGACTTCATGATTCATCACTGCGCTTGAGATTTCATCAAACTTAAGAGTTTCTCTACCATAAATCCATGTCGTAACAAACGACTCGTAAGATTCAGGTAGGGAATTCATCTGAATCAACGCTTTATCTTAATCTTTGATCGTCTCTTCTAGGTTCAGAAGTTCAGCAATCATCTTGTTAAATTCTTCAAGATGGTCAATCATCTTCGTTCCTTCCTTGTACTGAAAACGATACAATTTACTCTTAAGATAAAGTCTGTTTTCTGCACTCTTCTTCAAGTACTTTGATTCCAAAGTATCCCATAGTTCTCTAGCTGATGAGATATTCATTACACCATATTTTTGTGCTTTTCCAAGACATAGTCTAATCGTGGAACATGCATGTGCATTCAGCCGCTGCCATTCCTCCTTCTTCATTGTTATAGGCATGTCTTCAAGCACCACCAGTAAACCTTGTTGAATTAGTACATCCTTTACTTCGCACTGCCACATAGCGAAGTTATTTGTCCCAATGAATTTCTCGATCTCAAACCGAGCACTTTGCACCGAAGTCTTGGTTACCTCAGTACCCTTATCATCTCCACTTTCAGTTTTTGTCATTGTTTTGATTTGACCACGCAACCTAAGGCTCTTGATACCACTTGTTGAAACATACACTTCGATCAAACCAAACCAATAACAAGAAACATGAACAACGGAAGCACACTTTATTGATTGAATAAAGGAATACAAGAAAACTCACACATACAAATCGTTTTCTTGTCTCATAAGTCTCTCACACACTATATCCACACACCTGTACCCTAACGTTAAGGACCCTTTTATACTAACTCAAAAACCTAATCCTAAACTGAATTGGAATCCTAAACCTATCTGAAAACTTGCGTCCAAGTTTCCCATACCTATTACAATTAGAACTCCCACACCAGTTAGGAACCCTTCTCGGATTCTATACCAACTTCTAACAAAAGGGGTTTGCATTGGATTTCTTGGGAAAAAATGAAGCGAGACAAGCAACATGGGGGCGTGGGTTTCAGAGACCTACAGTGTTTTAATATTGCGATGATTGTGAAGACGTGATGGAGAATTATGCATAGCCCTAATTCGTTATTGGCAACGGTTCAAGTATTTTCTTTGTAAGTCGTTCTTAGATGCTCGTTTCAAGATCGCTTAATTTGGAAATATACAACGAATGGCGAGTACACGGTAATTTCGGGATACAAGCTTGCAACAGATATGACGGAGGTAGGGGCCTCTACCATTCAAGAGGCATTGGAGGAGTGCAGCAGACATGGTTTGTCAAACATTATCATAGAGTCTGATGCTCGTGGAAACCATAGTGCAGGACATTCGGGCTATTACAAATGATGTGGGGATTGTTTCATTCGAGTTTGTTCTTCGAGAACGCAACCAAGCGGCGCATTCTGTTGCAGCGTTTATTCAGAAAACTAGAGGTTCTTTTAGATGGGATTGTATTGGTCCCGAGTTCCTTTTTAACATCTTGGCTGAAGATGTAAACATTTCGATTGGAATTTAACATAAAATCTATCTTTAAGGAAAAAAAAATTAAAAAAAAATCGGTAATTTTCCATTGTAGCTTGGAAATGTAAAAACATCCTTGTGTTTTATCTATCCACAATCACACAAAGGATAGCTGCTTAAGTGTAAAGACAAAAAAGACATAACCTTCCTATCATATAGCAGACTCACATTTCCCAACTGTTTGATAACAATGTCAGCCAACACTTTTACAGTCGATCTTTACGGATAAGCAGAGGTAATGAACAAAGTAGAAAGACATGAGAAAGCCAATGGTGCCAGTTGACAGCATGATTGCAGTTGCCATGATCAATGAATAACCGAGGTAAACGATAACCGATGCAAGCCCACTCAAACCCTGCAGGTCAAATACCAGGTAATTGATGGAGTACAGGAACACGTAAAAGGAAACTGAACCTGAGGCAAAGAAAGCCTTCCACCACCACCTCCAATCCTCCACACAAAGATGCATGTATGTGAGAACTACTGAAACTTCAGCACAAACGATAACCAACAACATAAGCACTATAAAAAGGAAAACCGAAGACATAATAAAATCTTCCAAGCCAGATGCTAGAAAGGATGAAGAAGAGTTCAATGAAAAGGGTTCCAAACGGAAGTGTCCCAGCACCAAGAACAAGAAGCCATGATGGATATTTGCGCGCGTGAATCTCCCTTGGAATCTGGTTGGTTCTTACGGGATATGAAATTGGCTCAGCTCGTGTGCCTAAGAATCCCCCGAGAAGGGTGAGAGGCACGGAAATGCAGAACCAGAGGGAGATGAGTATAAAATACAAAGAAATGGGAAGAGCACCAGTACTCTTGCTGCCCCATAGAATGAAATTCAGTATTGTACGAATAACAAAGACAATTCCAGGAAAGAAGCACGCCACAAACCAGGAAACTGATCTCCACCCTTCGGAAGTTCCCTTTATGGTTCTCCATACACGGACAGCAACATAACCAGCAATTATCCCAAGGAAAAGATACAGAATGATCATTCTGGTCAGTAGCATTCCTCGTGAAGCTGGTGACATGAAACCAAATGCTGCAAAGATGATTGTGACAACTGCCATCCCTGTAATCTGAACCCCATCTCCAACCATCACGCAAAGAAGCTTGGGATAGTCTGGTTCTCTGAACACATCTCCCACAACAAGCTTCCACCCAGAGAGCTCTTCATTCTGTTAAAACCCAAAGAACCACAAGAAACCTGAGCAAAAAGAAAATCTGATGCACACTATTTTCAGAATGATTTGCTTATTCAATTCAAAGATGACAATGCCCTTTTAAGGCTTTACAAGATAATGGAAAGTAAATGCAACAGCCCACGATTTTACAGCTCCTAGAATCGTGGTATTTGACTAAGCTTGAAACTGAAAATGCAACAAACCTGTTCCTAGAAAACAGGCATTTATTAACAGCTACACAACCAACTCCGTGAGTAGCCCTAGAAACAAGGAAACCTAAACCAACAACTTTAACATCCTCCCTTAAACTGAATACCAAGTTATTCAGTTTACTGTTGGATAAGAACCAACACCCATCAAACTTCGCAATTTCACGAACACATCAAACTTCAAGGGCTTTGTAAGAATATCTACAACTTGCTCCTGGGTTGAACACTGAACCAATTCCACAGTTCCCTCCTTCGTAAGATCACGAAGAAAATGAAAACGAACATCAATGTGTTTGCTACGACCATGCAAGATTGGATTTCTTGAGAGTTTGATGGTTGATACGTTGTCACAGAATAACACCGTAGCTTTGCCTTGATCATAACCTAGTTCCCTTAGAACTCTTCTTAGCCAGATAGCTTGACAAGCCCCGGACGCTGCAGCAATGAACTCAGCCTCAGTGGTGGAAAGAGTGACCACTGGCTGTTTCTTCGAAGACCAAGATACAGCACCTGAGCTCATTAAAAACACATACCCCGAAGTGCTCTTCCTGTCATCCTGATCGCCTGCATAATCACTATCCATGTATCCCAGAAGCTCTTCATTTCCTCCCTTCTTATAAAACACCCCGAAACCAATAGTCCCCTTCACATATCTCAAAACTCTTTTTGCTGCCTGTAAGTGCATTTCAGTAGGCCTCTCCATGTACCTACTGATCAAACTCACTACATATGTCATATCCGGACGTGTAGCGGTCAGATACATAAGACTTCCAACAATTTGTTTGTAAAAAGTGTTGTCTACCCTAACTCCACCTTCATCCTTCACCAGCTTGAATCCAGGAACAACTGGATTATTCACTGGATTGCATTGATCCATTCTGAACCTGTCGAGCACCTCCTGCGCATATTTTCGTTGTCCAATGAAGATACCATCAGATCTCTGCGATACCTCAATGCCAAGAAAGTACTTCATCTTTCCAAGATCCGTCATATCAAATTCTATCATCATAGACTGTTTGAAATCCTTGAACATAACTTCATCATTTCCAGTAAATATGAGATCATCAACATAGAGACAAATAATCAAAATTTTACCTCCCTCTGCTGTTTTGATGAACAAGGTATGTTCATATGGACACTTCTTGAAACCTTCATTAATAAAGTAAGTCTCTATACGGCTGTACCAAGCTCGTGGAGCTTGTTTGAGACCGTACAATGCTTTCTTCAGCTTGTATGCTTTGTGTTCTTGTCCCGTTTTCTCATAGCCAGGAGGCTGAGCAACAAAGACTTCCTCATTTATCTCTCCATGCAAAAATGCAGACTTGACGTCTAGTTGATAGATCTCCCATCCCTTTTGAGCAGCCATCGAAATCACAACTCGAATCGTGTCTAGTCTCGTTACAGGTGCAAAAACCTCATCATAGTCTATCCCATACTTTTGGCTGTACCCTTTTGCCACGAGTCGCGCCTTGTATTTGTCTATTTCTCCATTCTCATTGAGTTTCGTCTTGTAGACCCACTTCACCCCGATAACTTTACTGCCAGTTGGTAACTCTGTAAGTTCCCATGTATCATTTCTTTCTATTGCCTCGATCTCCAAGTTCATGGCTGCCCTCCATTTCTCATTTTTTACTGCATCTTCATAAAAAATGGGATCACTGTCAATGAACAAAGCCAAGTTGGCAAAGTCTTCTACCTTAGAGAGGCCTTGCCCACTCTCATAATCTTTCATCCATGTTGGCGGTCTTCGTGTCCGTGTCTCATGAAATGAGTCTTCTTGAGCACCATGATCCACATCTTCGACATCTTCACTGTCTTCAGTTTCACCACTGTCCTCATATTCTTCAGTGCTACTGGTTTCTGACTCCTCATTTGCATCAACTTCTGTCTCTACTTCTTCATCTGTTTCCCACTCAAGGTTAGCAACAATGGCTTCCTTGTAGCAAGCCTCCCAATCCCAGCTTTGATCTTCTTCGAAAACAACGTCTCGGCTTACAATTATTTTCTGAGAGATTGGATCAAATAATCTGTAAGCTTTTGACTCGTCACTTACCCCAAGAAATATGCATTTCAGGCTCTTATTGTCAAGCTTTACCCTTCTATTGTCAGGCACATGAGCATGCGAGATACATCCAAAGATTCTGAAATAGTTCACTGATGGTTTGACTCCACTCCATGCTTCTTCTGGTGTCTTGCTTCTCACGGCAAAAGTGGGACTTCTGTTGAGAATATGCACTGTCCAATTAACAGCTTCAGGCCAAAATGTTTTTGGAATATGCTTTCCAGAAAGCATACTGCGAACCATGTTCATAATCGTCCGGTTCTTCCTCTCAGCAACTCCGTTTTGCTGGGGAGTATATGCGGCTGTCAATTGTCTTCAAATTCCATTCACATCACAAAACGTTGTGAATTCTTGTGATGTGAACTCCCCTCCACGATCAGTGCGAAGGATCCTTATATATGCTCCTGTTTCCTTTTCAACTCTAGCTTTGTAGTTCTTAAAGACAGCAAAAGCTTCAGATTTTTCAACCAAAAAATATACCCAAGTCTTTCGACTAAAGTCATCGATGAAAGTAATAAGATACCGTTTTTTACTGTTTGATGTTGGATTTATAGGCCCGCAAATATCAGCATGTACTAGCTGAAGGATTCCAGAAGCCCTCCATGCTTTTTCCTTTGGAAATGCATCCCTTCGTTGTTTCCCCACCAAGTAATCCTCACAGACTTTAAAGGGAGTTTTGAATTCTGGCATACCCTCCACCATTTTCTTTTGTTGAAGAACTTTAAGACCACTCCAGCTTAAGTGCCCATATCGACAGTGCCATAGTTGGGATTGGTCTGTGATAAGGGAAACAAGACACCTTTGTTCATTTATCTGACATCGAGCAATGATAATGAACATCCTGTTGTGTGACATGGAGGTTTGAATAATTAAACCCCTCTCAGGATGAAAGATCTTGCAGGTTCCATGTTGCATGAAAACCGCAAGACCCTTCTCTTGGAGTTGCCTAATGCTCAGTAGGTTGTTCCTCAATTCTGGTACGTAAAACACCTCGGTGATCATGTGCATGATGCCATCAATCTCCATTCGAATGCTCCCCTTTCCTTGTACTTCCATGCTGATAGGAGCATATTCATGCGACTTAAATGGCTTGTTCTCGTGCATTTACGTTATGTTTCTCTAGTTATTTTAGTCCTTTATGCTTCTTTTGTGTGTTTTCAGGTTCTAAGGGCTTAAGGAAGCAAAAAGATGCATTTTGGAGCATTTTGGAGCAAAATTGGGCTTGGAATGGATAGCATATAATTGGAGCCAAAGTGTTGGACGAATTTGAAGGCCTTGTATTCACTTTGGACATAAAACAAAGGGCCTAGCCCATTCTCTCTCTTAAACCAACCCCAAGGCCATGCATTTCCTTCCAATTCCAAAGCCCACAATCACTTCAAAAGCCATGCAAATCCATATTCAACACCCTAAACTACAAGCATGCATCATTACACCACCTTCTCCATCTTTATTCCACATGCATTCATTTTAATTCACCCCACTACCACCACTCACACACACATGCACTTATTCTTTCATCAATGCACCACCAATTCAACACATGCAATTACACACACCATTCACTCCTTTTGTGCCGTGCATCCTCTCACCAAGCAATCAAACAAGCCACATGCATGTCCCTTTAATCATTCAACCACATTCCCACTTTCCTAGCTAACCCTACATGCATTCTTTATTCACTCTTCATCATTGCATTCATTCTCCAAACACTTTCTATGCCGTGCATTCCATTCTTTCTAAACCTTTCCACATGCAACTCTTCATCATTGCACCACAAATCATTCACCCACATGCACTCATAAACCATCCACACCTTTGTGCCATGCACATTCATAGCCTTTCCAACATAATTCACATACATCCCATTCCATCTCCCATTTGCATATTTCCCCTTTTGCATGATCCTTTAATCATACAAAACCACAAAGCCACATGCACATTCACCCCTTTCTCCACACCAAAACCGTGCATACACACTTCATTCCATTCATTCATCATTCCATCTCATGCATCACCATTTATTCCACCCTAGAGCCTCATTATTCAATCCATCATTCAACCATCTTCCACCCCCTTTAATCATTTAACCCACATACATTCACACATACTTCACATGCAAAACAACAACCATTCACACACAAAACAGCACTATTCACCCTTGTGTCGTGTATACCAACCCCTTTCAGCTTTCCCTCTCATTTCCACCACTCATTATTCATCATTGCAGCCACCTACATGCATATTCATTAACCTTTCATCATGTAGACAGAAAATAACACAAATTCCACTCCATGTCGTGGCACACATTGACATTCCAACACTTCACATGCAATTCCAGCTTGCATATGCTTTCCTAGCTGTTTGTTCATCATTAATTAGCCACTTGCATGCTTAAACAAACAGCCATTTACACCTCCACTACTCCTATAAATACCCTTGCATTCATGCATTCATTCATATCTCATTTCATACACAACACACCACAAACACTTCCATCTTCTCCCTAAGCCGTGAGCTTCTCTTCATTTCTGTGCAGTTTTTCTCCTCCATTGCAGCCACTATCCAACCATTTCCCATCCCTCCAAAACACTTCACACCATCACACAACCTATCCTTAGACCTTGTGCTACAACAACGAGGAAGAGAAGAGTGCCTAAACGTTCATACAATTCAAGTTTGAGTTGTTGGAATGTTTAGGCGTTTCTTTGATTTCAAGGTTTAGTTTCAATTCTCTTTGTTTTGTAAGTATGAGGAACTAAACCCCCCTTAGCTAGGGGGTGATTCGAAATATATGTTTATGCTTGCAATATGATTTGATTACTTTTAATTACGTTTCATAAGTTGTGAATTCAATTTGTTTAACTATTTGATTGATATCCTATTTATGTATGTTTATTAAGAATGAACGCTTAATTTTCATGCATGAATATGACGCTAGAATATAAGTGAGTTTCACGTAATAGTTATGAACTTATATTCACAAGTAGTGGAGGTTGCTTATAAACAATCGCGTTAAACAAATTCTTGGCATAAGTTTCATGCAATCATAGTAACGAATGCCTCGTCAACACTTATAGTTTTCATGTTGCTTAATGATTCTTGCTTGTATCTCTATTATGCAATTCATGTAGGGAACTTGTGAGGAATGCTTTGGATTGTCGTATGCAATCATCCAATTCATTAACTTAAGGAAAACTTGACGGTTAATTTAAGCGGACCTAATTAACCCGGGGCGTTGAGAATTCATGGTTTATTGAAAAGCAATTAGAAATCGTTTTATATGCAAGTATAACATGTATAGAGATGAACCCCTTAGCTAGCTTCCCATCCATTCATTTCCGTCAAATCCATATTTACAATTTGTTTTATTTCCAAGTTTCCATTTTAGTTTAAATTCGTCCAAATCCAATCTCCCCCCTATTTCGTTGAAGTCTTATTCTTAATCTTTCTTATTTTTAGTTTAGCATTCTTTGAGCATTAAATAGTGTTTTATATTGTGTTTTTATGTTTTTAAGTTAAATCCAAGTATCCATTTTAGTTTAAAGTCGTCCAAATCCAATCCCCCTTTACTTTATTGTTCAATTTAGTCAGAAATCAATTTAGTTTGTGTTTTTAAAAGCATTTTGAGTCTTTTGGTTTGTCTTAGTGTTTTAACGTTTAGTTTCACATTCTTTGAGTCTAGTTTAGTGTTTTATCTTGTTTTTACGTTTTTGAGTCAATTTCCAAGAGATTAACAATCCCTCCTAATCCCCGGTCCAGAACGATCCCTACTTATACTTATACTACAATTGACAAAAAGATGGTTTAATTTGTGTGCGTATAAATCTCGCATCACATGCGTGCATCATTTCCCAGTTTGACTGAATCCTGGAAGGTTTTATTAAGATCACAGAAAAACTCTTCCCTCCCACACATATGATTACTGCATCCTGAGTCCAAGAACCAAAAGCAGTCACTTCTAGCCTTGTTGTCATTCACATATGCCATGAGTAGCATTTCTTCATTTGTCTCAGCAATGTTCGCCTGCTTTTCCTTTTTAGGGCACTCCCATTGAAAATGACCAAGCCCATGACAGTAGTAGCATTCAACCATGGATTTGTCATACCCAGACCGACCACGTCCTCTTCCCCTTCCTCGATAAGAACCACGACCCCCACTTCGTCCTTCTGGCTAAATTTCATTTGTGACTTGCAGTGCTTGTTCATCCATGGTATGCCTACTCATTCGTTGTTCATGGACGAGTAAACGACTTTGAAGTTCATCGATAGACAGAATGTCAATATCATTGGACTCCTCTATGGAGCACACAACATAATCAAATTTAGGCGTCATGGACCGTAAGATCTTTTCAATGACCACCACATCACCCATCTGTTCTCCGTGAAATTTCATCTTGTTGGCAATGGTGAGCGTTCGTGCAAAATAGTCATTCACTGACTCTCCTGTCTTCATGTGAAGTACCTCAAACTCTTTACGAAGAGCTTGCAGCTGTGCACGTTTTACACGAGCTGTGCCTTGATATTTTTGCTTCAATGAGTCCCAAATGTCCTTCGCTGTGTCCTTCTTCAAGATTGTCTCCAGTATCGATCGATCGATAGCTTGAAACAGATAATTCTTCGCCTTTAGATCTTTTAGCCTGTGATCCTCGTTCGCCTTCTTCTGTGTCTCTGTAGGATCCACTCCTTCTGCTGCTGCAGGAATCCCAACTTCCACCAGACCCCAGTATTCTTTGGATCGCAGAAAATTCTCCATGAGCATGCTCCAATGATCATAGTGCCCATCAAACTTAGGAATGGCTGGCTGCACGAAACTGCTTTCATCAGCCATATCGTTACTCCTTCTCACTGAACTCGTGTTTGTTTTAAGACGTTGATCAGGCCCCGTGGTGGGGCTCTGATACCAGATGTTAAAACCCAAAGAACCACAAGAAACCTGAGCAAAGAGAAAATCTGATGCACACTATTTTCAGAATGATTTGCTTATTCAATTCAAATATGATAATGGCCTTTTAAGGCTTTACAAGATAATGGAAAGTAAATGCAACAGCCCACGATTTTACAGCTCCTAGAATCGTGGTATTTGACTAAGCTTGAAACGAGCACCCTCCATCTTCAAATAAGCATCCCACCTTGATGGCCATCTTATATCGCTTTTCACAAACTCAACCTCATAAGTGAATGATACTTTCTCTTGCTCCCTTATTATTTGAGACTTTTTGACCACTGTGGGACAATTTACAGGTTGGATATTTTCATACATGGCTTTTTTCTTCATGGCCTCTGGGTCATATTTAATGCTGCAAGGGGAAACCTCAAAGCCAACAATCTCAAACCCAGATGCCTTCTTATCAGCTTCTGAAATGACACCCATGCCTTCTTCCCCAGTCCCGATTACCTGCACACCACTCCCTTCATACTCGTGAATCAAAACAGTGAACTTGAGGTGATTGATGATGTAATCTTCTTTACTGTTGGGTGGTGTGTACCCAACAGGAAACCCAGTCCACTGAATCTTAACCCCATTTCGATAAGCATACCTCATCGCAGGCAAATTATCAAGGATCATATTGACCTGATATAGATCACGGGTCGTCCTCTGTTTCAGCAGCTTTACGTCGTGCTTAGTCAAGGGGGGTGTGGTACACAGGTAAAGAGACTCATTCTTATTCATTTTGAAGCGGTACGCAGAGGTTTCGATCTCATCACCCATAAGGAGTTCCCCGAGATTCTCAGCACTTTTCTTGATACCTTCAGGGGGTTTGCAATAAGGGAGACTGTAGTAGCTCAAGGGCAGCCCAGTGCCTATAGAAGTCAAGGAGTTAACTTTGGTAATGATTTGTTGCCCATTCGAATATGTACGCATGTAGCTTCCGGGGAGATAAAACCCATTACAGGTGTGCACAAATACAACCAAAACACGCAGAGCCCATTTGATTGAGGGCACTCCCGGATTCGATATCGCCATCGGAGTCGAAAGAAAACACCACACTCACCACAAGTTGGAGTGAGCAGTGTATCTAAGCTAGCTCTTACAGATGCATTCACCAATTAATCTACACAAATGTCAAACAGAAAACATACTAATATCAGCCAAAAGAACACAAAGACTGAAAATTTAAGCTAATAATACAAAATTAAACATTCGGGTTAACAAATTTGATCAAGAACCGGCAAAACGATAATTAAAAAGCCATGAAAATTTTTAGAAATTGAGAACGAACCGTGACAGGTCCGGAACCGAAACGGATGCTGAGCGGCTGTGGTGCGCAAGAGAGAAGCAGAATCTCGGCGTCCCCCTTCGCTTAATATTATGCTGCTGCCATTAGACCGAACAAGCTCAGAGGGTTGACGGAACTAACTATGCTTTCTTCGGAATAAACGGTGCGAATTATATTTTGTACGCGCTAATATAATTAACTTATTTGCTTTCTTCGGAATGAACGATGCGAATGGCGAACTTATATTCGATCTTGGATGGCCGGTTTTCATTGTTTTTACCTTCACTCCAAAACTGTTTTCCTGGAAATATGAACAAATGGATTGTAACGTTGCCGGCTTTAAGCTGATTGGATGGGCGGTTTTCATTGTTTTTTCTTGTTAAGGTGATTGGTTGCGGGATAAATGAAATAAGCGGGTGAGTGATTGATTATTGTCACATGCTGCTGAAGACAAATTAAGTACGTCATAAGCCTTCAGGTTAATAGAGTCATAAGCCTTTAAGGTATTAGGATATGTCAAACTCCTAATAGACGATAACCAAATTTGGCATATCATATGAAGTGTAAAACTTCTCAATATTTTAAGTTAAAATTAATGAATTTTGACATCTTCTTTGAAAATGCTCTTTATTTGATTGAAAAACTTATAACTAGTTATTAACTTTTTATCCAAATTTTAAGTGTGACCATATAAGTAATGACATTATCTATTCAAGATTAAAACCTTCTTGTGTGCATGTGATAATTATTTTTTGAACAAGCTGCAATTAAACGTACCAATTTGTTATACGTAAAATGTATCATTTTTAAAATATAAAATGTACCTATTTTTTTTAATATAAAATTCATTCAATTTTTTCTAATTCATTTTTTAAACTTATATGGGTACATTCTCTTTCGTTGATTTGAGAATGTATTCATGTCAAGTTTCTTTGAAGAAATTTAATAATATTATTTAGCCTAATATCTATTTTTTGTGCTTTTAAAAAATGTACCCATGTTTTGTTACAGTAATGTTTTGGTTAATTTTTATAAATGTACGAATGAGTTTATCGTCACGTGATGTTTTTTTTTTTAATAACACCTGTCATGTGTCAAAAAATTTACACATACAATATTTTTTTGAACGAGATGCTGCAATGGCGGTGGATCCATTCCGTTTGAGATGTTCTCGTAGCTCATTTACACATCATATTATTTTATTTATTAATGAAATATTGTAAAATATAATTTATTAACCATCTGTATTATAACAGTATTTATAAATAATAGCCAAAATTTAACACCTTATTTCATGAATGTCACATTTTATAAAAACTTTCAAATATAGCAAAAAACTCATGTGAATAGACCTAAATACCCTCAAAAGCTCAAAAGTCATTTACACAGAAAACCCAAAGCACTTGAATATATCTCCTCTACATTGTTGTTCAAAGTGTGAGGCCGTGAGGACAGTTGGTAAACGTCGTTGAGCAGTTGCAGGTGTTGTCCAATTGTCAACTAATTGAGTACCAACTTGAAAATTTGTTGCTCATATCTAAAACTCAATCGTTACTGTTAATACAATATCATCACGACAAAATATTATTTGTACAATCATTTAAGCATACGTGATATTAGTTGAGGATTATAACTCATTGAAACCAAATTCCAATCCTATTATGCTTATGAATTTTCCTTAAATTTGTTGGATGACGTGGATTTAAAACCATAACAGTTTTCATAAGAGGATCTTTCAATTAAATTCGTGCTTTTCTTCCCCGCAAATCTAATTAATCTATAATCCCTATTAGCAAGTTCAAAATTGTACCCGATCTCACAAACCAATCAAAACCAAACAATGGAGTGAGGGTGTGCGAAAATGCTGCTCTCAACAATGGGGCTAAAAATATTAATCCATGTGCAGAAAGTTTTAAATTTTTAAACATGAAAATGATTGGGAAGTTCAGCAATGTTGCTGCTCGGATATATAGTTGGGTGAGAGTTTTGCCACTAATTTTCATTTGGTTTTAATTTTGAAGGTATTTAGGTCTATTTAAGTAACTTTTCTGTTATATTTGAAATATTTTATAAAATGTGATATTTATGAAATTGAATGTTAAATTTTGGCTATTATTGATAAAAACTCTTTTATAACTCGTGAAATCCGATAACATTAATTAGGGTTCTAAGATAGCTCTAACATGTCATTTCTTACAAAGAGTCACAGAAAACATGAACAAACAACAAAGATTATTTCTCATATAATCTTATACAATGAGAGGGGCCAAATTAAATTGTACAAACTTAATGGAACTTGAGGCTGGTCAAGATGTTGTTGTTGACCGGGTCGGCCAAGTGATCCAGAAGGTTCTGGTAGGGCCCCACACCAGTCACAAGACCCTGAATAAAATAACCCAAAATTGCTAGCATGGCAAGCCTCCCATTCTTCACTTCCTTGAGCTTCAACTCTTTCATCGACTTCTCATCTTTCCCAAACCCTAGCGGGTTGAACAAGGGCCCACCTGGGTAAGCAGGGTTATCCGACCCACCCAAGTACTTCTCCAAGCCCAAGAAGTATTGCTTGCTCATGGACCCGGGGTTGTACCAATCCTGGAACCTCCGGTGCTCGGCAAAGCCCATTAGGGCGAGCTCTAGGACAAAGAGTGTGTAGGGGTCGGCCCAATAGTTGTAGGTCCCGGCTGGCGGGATAACTCCGGTTTGGAACCAGGGAAGGGCAGTCTCGGCAGGGATAAGGCCGAGCTTGCCCAAGATTTCTGGGGCAATTGCACCAACTGCACCCAGCATGGCGTAACGTCCGTTGATGATTTCACCGTAGGCTAGCCATCTAGGCTCGATGAACCCACCTGTGCCTTCTGGGTCAGAGAGGCCCAATGGGTCGAATCCAAAGTCGCCGGGAAGGCTGCAAGTTAAATTTAACCATTTCTCAAAGTTAATTTAGGTGATGACCAAGTGCTTTAAATTTACATTTCCTTTTGGGAGAAAATTTGTCTTATAATATGTTATACATTTCGTCATATTTATCTCTATCATCACGGAATAAAATCAAATACAGTACATACAAACACAATTGAATATACAATTAGAAACAGCTAAAAATTGCCCATTATATATAAAGTGATTATAGTTTTTGTTCAAGGAGTAATAATTATGTGAGTCACCTATATGGGTGGATGAACAATGAGTATATGCTTTAAGGCATAGGGCTTCTAAATATACATGTGGTATAACATGAGTCGTGACGGATTTTGGCCAGAAGCACAATCCGATTTTTGTAGATTTTAATTTCTTTTCTCTGTGTTAAATTAAGCTTATCCTCCTGCTAATTGTCAACCCTAATCCATCTCCCACGTTCTCATCTCAGTCAAATAAAAAAAAAACCTAGTTCCGTTGCTCAAACTACACTATATGAGTCATGACGGTGTTACAGTCATACTAAAAGGGTGAGTTGAGCATTGTTACCTGCCATCCAGGTAAGAAAGGCTCTGCTTGGAAGCAAACCACAACTGTCTATCTGCTCCTTGCTGCACCCAAATCAAACCATAAAATCATAGACAAAGAACGTCAGTTTTGTTACACTAATAGAAACCAAATAGTAATACCACGTGACAGTACCAAAAGTGACATCTACGTACCTTAACGGGAGGAGTAGATGCCGCCCTTACTACAAAGAAAGCAGATTTTCTCGACCCAAATGGAGATTGGACAGCATTTGCTCCTCCAAATATCTGCCTAGCAACCTCCTTTGAGGCTGTTAAAGAAGATGATGAAACCAGAGCTTGTGCTGCCATTTTCTCTCTCTAGCGCTCTCTCTCTCCTCAGGCCACTCAAATATTTAGCTCAGTCTCTCAAATACCACAACTTCCTCCATGCAATAAGGAAGATACAGAATTGGTGTGGGCCAGGATGGAACCAAAACTTGTGGGCAATGTGCCGCTGGGTTCTTGGGTGGACATTGGAGCTGGACTCTGCTTTCAGATTAGGTTGGGATCTCACTGCCCAACAAAGCTTGTACACGTGGCGCCATCACCTGGATAAGAGATATTGCAAATTTCTCAACGGATACCTGATTTCACAAACTTGGTTTAGTAAAAGGATTTTTCTTTAATATACTATTAAATGATACATAAAAGTGAATAGCTGTAATTGAAAATAAAATATCTAAATAATTGTAGAAATTAAATTTAACGGCTAAACATCTGTAATGCTCGATTTTACAAATTTAGTTTACTACTACGTGACATTAAATGATATATAAAATAAATAGTTGTGATTAATAATACAATATCTAAACAGTTGTAGAAATTAAATTTAACGGTTAAAACATTCGTAACATTAACAATGCGTAGCATCAAAGCCGTACTCTATATCATGAAGATATTCGTTTGATCAAGCTGATTATTTGAATTGATACTTAATTTGTTAAGAGTTGTTGTATGTGCAATGCTGCAAGCACTACAAGTTGTCAATGTGCTTGGTTAGGTAGGTAGTACTCAATTCGTTTGGGGGCTTTGTAATTCTAGTGGTAGAGTATATGTATGCAGAGAATAACTTCGTTATTTTATATTGTACATAATTATGTGTCATGTCTTTCTCATCACGTGATTAGTCATGTGATGATACATATATTAGTTACAATTATGAATTTATAATTTTTTTCTACTTTTCATAAGTAAGCATCTTGCTGCATACACTGTCTGCACCTCTTTGTGACATTTCGTAAGCATCTTGCTTCAAAATCATACTTGAGGATAACATCAAAGTAACATTGATCCATTCCATTGTATATGTAATATGAGACGGAGGCAATCACATATACTAGTCATTTGGTATATAAGCCTATGCATGGTTATATAATATATACAACTGGTTGCACTTGAATTATCTTCACAGTCGTATGCTCATATTCAAACTTTTCATTTCCATTTTTTTGGGGGAAATTTCTTCGACACTACTAGCATTAAATGATACGAGAATGAATGGTTGTGATTGAAAATAAAACATTTAAACAGTTGTAAAAATCAAATTTAACGGCTAAAACATTCGTTGCATTGAATGATACATAGCATTAAAATCACACATTTTTTGTGAGTAAAATCGATATGAGACCGATAACAAGGGGTCACCACCGATAGAGAAAATTATGATTCGTTTTAGGCGAGCCAGACTCCATATGAAAACGACTATCGAACAGCCGTCTTCGAACCATAAGACATTGAATCAATCGGCTAGCAAAAAATTGACATGGGCCTCAAAATTCAATATCTAACCCAAATTAGACTTCAAAGGGTAAAGCTAGCCCAACATGAAGATCCAAATTACAAAGTAAAACGTGGGTCCCAAGGTCGAGCGCAGAGGATCCCAACCCGTAAATATCTCTTTCATTTCGTTTCCATAAACTCCTTCGCTCCACATCAGAGGTGACTCGTTCCCTCACTTCCTCGCCTCTCACTTAAACCCTAAACCCCAAACCCCAAATCCCAAATCCCAAATCTTAGGGTTTCTCTCTCTCTCTCTCTCTCCTCCGAAACCCTTAACCCCTTCGAATTGGATAAAAAATGATGGCCACCATCCTCCGCCGTACGCCTACTATAGCCACGGCGCGGACCTTCGCCGCCATCGAAACCCTCCTGATCAACCACCATTCATTTCTCGGGGCGCCAGGCCCCGAACTCGTACTTCCTGAAAATGGCGCCGTCGGCGGCGAGGCTAGGTTCTACACCGTCTCACCCCCGAAGACGAAGTTGGGTCCTTCGTACGGGTATCTAGTGAGGGACTTGCACGCGAAATCTGGGCCGTTGAGTTTTCGGGCGTCGACGCCTCTGGGCGCGCAGTTTGCCGTTGAGTACTCCTCCGAAGAGTCGACTAGAAGGAGCGGCGACGATGAAGGACTCGAGATCGCGAAGCTAGGGATTGCTAAGGAGATCGTGTCGGCTTTGGCCAATAAGGGTATCAGCAAGCTGTTCCCCATACAGGTGATTAATCATTTCCCAATTTTGTGCTTTGGTTGATGAGAAATGATTGAAAAAAGAAGATGTTTTTTTTTAGTTTACCTGTTGGTTGATTTGTGTGTGGACGATGTATTAATTCATTGTTTGGGGATTTTATGTAGAGGGCTGTGTTAGAACCAGCAATGCAAGGGCGGGATATGATCGGTCGCGCTCGAACAGGAACAGGGAAAACTCTTGCGTTTGGGATACCCATCTTGGATAAAATCTTTAAATACAATGCCATACATGGGTTTGTTTCGCAAATCACAATCATCAGTTAGATTATTAATGTGCTCCGATAGGGGTTTTCAATATGACTATCTAATTTCCCCTTGCTTCTTTTTGGTTTTTAGAGTTTGTATTTGATTTATGTTTGATTATATGTAGGCGTGGAAAGAATCCTTTGGCTTTGGTTTTGGCCCCGACAAGAGAACTCGCAAAGCAAGTTGAGAAGGAATTCCATGATACAGCACCTGGTTTGGATACAATCTGTGTCTATGGTGGTACCCCCATTTCAAGTCAAATGAGAGCGCTTGACTATGGAGTTGATGTGGCTGTTGGCACGCCTGGTCGTGTAATTGATCTTATCAACAGGGGAGCCCTGAATTTAGAGGAAGTTCAGTTTGTTGTTCTTGATGAAGCTGATCAGATGCTCCAGGTGGGATTCCAGGAGGATGTAGAGATAATCTTAGAGAGGGTGCCAAAGAAACGTCAGACGTTGTTGTTTTCTGCAACAATGCCTGGTTGGATTAGAAAGCTTAGTCAGAATTATTTAAAAGATCCAGCCGTTATTGATCTTGTAAGTATGTTTTTATTTGCCTGTTTTCGCCGACCAGGTGTAGCTACTTCTAGGATCAGATCATAAGCAATGTTATGCTGGACTGAGGACAACAAGCTTAAATTGAACGAGCAACGTGTCTTCTCCATTTTGTGTCTGGATATTTAGTGATAGTTTGCAAAGACGGAAGAATTAGGTTTCTAAAAAAATTTCAAATTGCACTAGTGGCAATATATTTTCTTTTGATTTTTTGTTTGGTAACATGGAAACTACTAGTATAAGGATGGCTTATGGAATAGACATATTCATCTGGTCATGTTTGCTAATTGAGAGCTGGCATGTGCTGTAGGTTGGGGATTCTGATCAAAAATTGGCAGATGGAATTTCTCTATTCTCGATTGCATCAGACTCATACGGAAGAGCATCAATTATCGGACCACTTATAACAGTAAGTAATCTTAACCTTTTCAGTTCTTACATTTTCCAACATCTGGTTCCTCCTCACCATCAAGTATGTGTGCCTGTTAGGAACATGCAAAAGGAGGAAAGACTATTGTTTTCACTCAGACAAAGCGTGATGCTGATCGATTGTCGTATGCCATGTCAAGAAGCTTTAGATGCGAGGCTTTGCATGGGGATATTTCACAAAGCCAGAGGGAAAGGACCCTTGCAGGTTTTCGAGATGGGAATTTCAATATTTTAGTTGCCACTGATGTTGCTGCTCGTGGGCTTGACGTACCCAATGTTGATCTGGTGAGATTTATTTAACCGTTTACCTTTGATTTAGTTTCATGTGTATTAATCTGTGTAGGTCTGCCGTAGTTTATAGTCACTGGACAAATGTACTACTACATTCTTTAATCTAGTAGTTTCTACAACATCCTCTCTTTCCCTTCCCTTTCATTAGCTTTCATGACTTGATTAAAGCTTTTAAATGCTCTAGTTAGGTCCATATGGTTTTCCACTGCATTTGGCAGTGATAATGTTATGGATACGAATTAAGGAAAAGGAGTTGGACTGACTTTCTTCACTTTCTTGGTCATAGGTGATACATTATGAGCTGCCAAATAATCCAGAAATATTTGTTCACCGGTCTGGCCGAACAGGTCGTGCTGGGAAGAAAGGAAGTGCTATTCTTGTTTACACACAGGATCAATCCAGGGCTGTTAGGACTATCGAGAGAGAAGTAGGATGCAAATTTACAGAGGTAAAGATGAAGTTTTTTTGTCTATGCATCTTCCATTTACTTTTAGGCTGGACGCTGTTCATAGTTCAAGGCATTGAGAGTAACACAATTCTGACTTTGATTATCATGTGCTTTTGGGTAATTGAATGATACTCATTTGACAGAAACAAATAGACGTTCCCATTAAAGATCTGTGTTTCCTCTAAAATGTTTGTGTGGACTCACGAGCATGCTTTCTGCTCATGTGATTTTATTCTTAGTTTGAGTCGAAGCTTAAAAGTGGTCTGACATAATGGTCTCCGGTATAGTATGGCGAGCTTCGCAACATAACCGAAAAATTCTATTATATATATTTCTCGGAGAAAATGTCTGGTTTGTGTATGTACTAGCATCCCAGACTGATTATATGATTACTTTTTTATCACCAGCTCCCCCGGATTGCTGTTGACAGCAAAAGTATAGACATGATGCCAGACATGGGTAGAGATCGATTCACGAAGGGTAGTCGATTTGGTGGTCCATCGGGACCAGGTTTTAGCCGTTCTGGTGGGTTTGGTCGTTCCAGTAGCTATGGTGATTCTTCTAGTCAGATGGGTAGATCTAGTGGACCTCGTTCCGGTCGTTTTGGTTCCTATGGTGATTCTCAATCTGGAGGTGGGTTTTCCGGATCTAGCTCAAACCGCGGAGGAAACTTTGGTAACTCAGGTTTCGGTCGTTCAAGTGGTTTCGGTAATTCTGACCGTTCAGGAGGTTTTGGTAGTTCTGACCGTTCAAGTAATTTCGGAGGGTTTGGTAGCTCTGATCGTTCTGGTGGTTCTAGGAACAATAATTCTAGCCGTTTTGGCAGCTTTG